CGGTGTTGGCCAGGCTTGTCTTGAACTCCTGATGTTAAGTGATCCACCCGCCTTGACCTCCCAAAGTGTGGGGATTACAGGCTTGAGTCATCGCGCCAGTCCATGTGATCTCATTTCTATGAAATATCCAGGACAGGCCCATCCACAGACAGGGAGATGACATTTGATCTCAGACCCTGTTGTGGGTGGAACTGTGTTCCTGCAAAAGATATGTTCAAGGCCAGGCACGGTGGCTTACACCTGTAATCCCAGCACTTTGGGAGGCCAAGGTGGTGGATCACCTGAGGTCAGGAGTTCGAGACCAGCCTGGGCAACATGGGGAAACTCTGTCTCAACTAAAAACACAAAAATCAGCTGGGCGTGGTGGTGTGCATCTATAGTCCTAACTGGGGGGTCTGGGGTGAGAAGATCACTTGATCCCAGGAGTTGAGGCTTCAGTGAGCCGTGATCACACCACTGCACTCTAGCCCCTGGGCAACAGAGTGACACTGTCTCAAGGGGGGAAAAAAAAAAAGGTATGTTCAAGTCCTACCCTCCATGCCCACTGTGCACGGGACCTCATTTGGAATCAGGGTCTTTACAGATGCACTCAAGTTTAGATGAGACTGTGGTGGGTTACAGTGAGCCTTTTCCAACGACTCCTGTCCTTACAACAACAGGGAGACTTGGCCACACACCTAGCCCCTCACAGGGGAAATACAGCCGTGTGAAGACGGAGGTAGAGGCTAGGGTGACACAGCCACAAGCCAGGGATTGCTGAGAGCCCCGGGAAGCTGGGAGAGGCAGGAAGAACGCTCACCGGAAGCTTCCAGAGGCCCCCAGCCCTGCGGACACCTTGATTTTGGACTTCTGCCTCCAGAGCTGGGAGAGTGTATGTTTCGGTTGTTTTAAGCTCCCTGGGTTTGCGGCGCCTTGTTCTGGCAGGAAACAGGCCGACCCAAAAGTTGAACAGAACAGAGCCCGTGGTTTTCTGGAGGGAGGGTGTGTGGGCTGGGGGAACAGCCAGTGGAAGGGCCCTGAGGTGTGGCGGACATCTGCAGAAACTAAGGGAGAGGGTGGAGCGGGGCGGGGAGCTGGGCCTCTGGGTGGGGGACAGATGGCATGGAGCCATGGTGGCCCAGAGGAACAGGTACCAATGCTCCGTGGGTCCCGATGGCTGTGCGTTCTGGGCTCTTCCCATCTCTCCTGGGAGCCTGCTGCACCCCTACCAACTCTTCTTGGCTGCAGCCCGGATTCTGGGGGCTGGGGTGGCAGGTGGAGGTGGGGTTGGAGGGAGCGGGAGGACGGAGCTGGAGCTACCAGGCGGCACTGCCCAGCCTCTTCTGCTTGGCTGCTTCGCCCGCCAGCCAGCCGGCTATTTTTGGCATCTTAGCAGCTGAGCCCCGCTAGGCATCCCCCCAGGCCCCTTGGCCCAAACCAGGCCTTGTGTCTCTTCACGGTTCCCATTGGCCGTCGATCCTCATCTGCTAAATATCTGCGAAGGCAGCTCCTGCCTTCCCAGCGCCTTTCAAGAATTTAAGCGGAGAGCGAACAGACGCGGAGCCCCGGGAGACTGCTTAATGTCAGAGATGAATCGTACGTAAGTGAGGACAGGTTGTATCTTGCAGCTGTAATTCATTAAGATGAGGTCACGCAGGAGTAGGGGGAGCCCTAATTCAATGACTGGCGTCTTTATAAGAGGGAAATTTGGACACAGAGACACAGGTGAAGGCCAAGTCACCACACAGGCAGAGACCGGAGTGATTCATCCGCAAGTCAAGTGACACCAGGGATGGCCAGCTACCACTGGAAGCTGGAAGAGTCAGAAAGGGTCTCCCCGAAAGCCCCCAAAGGAAGTTGGACCTGCCTGAGCTTGGACTTCCAGACTCCAGAACTGTGAGAGAAGAAGCTCCTCTTGCCAGGGGCGGTGGCTCACGCCCGTCATCCCGGAACTTCGGGAGACTGAGGCGGGCGGATCACTTGAGGCCAGGAGTTCGAGAGCAGCCTGACCAACATGGAGAAACCCTGTCTCTACTAAAAAAAAATACAAAAATTAGCCGGGCGTGGTGATGGGCACCTGTAATCCCAGCTCCTTGGGAGGCTGAGGGAGGAGAATCGCTTGAACCCGGGAGGCGGAGGTTGCGGTGAGCCTAGATCGCGCCACTGCACTCCAGCCTGGGCGACAAGAGGGGAAACTCCGTCTGAATAAATAACTACATAAAGTGAAATGCCAAACTGAATTCTGGATTTAGGTGGACACGGACACGTATATACAGATGCCAAAACTGGGTGTTCACAGGCCGCATGGAACAGCAGGGAGCTTGGCAGGAAGGAAGGTGTCACAGGCGAGAATGTGGTCCCACCGAGAGAAAAGCGAGGGGCCTCTGGTTTCCAGGAGGCCTTGGTCCTCCTGCCCCCAGCTTGGGAACGTAGGGAACCTGAGGGAGGGAGGGAGGGAGGGAGCGAGAGAGGGGGCATGGCCCCCTCCCCCGCTCCCCAGAATCGTGTTTAATCCCAACCTGGACATTTTACAGGGAAGGCAACCCTTCCCTCCAGCAAGCTCCCTCCCAGCGCTGTTTTCTAGGTCATTCTCTCCCGAGCTGCCGCCCTGCCGACAGCACACTCAGGGGCTGTGTCACAGGAGGGGATGAGAGCGCT